AGTGAACTCCTTTTCTAGTATTACGTTTCCAATGTCTGCCTTCGATGTATCCTCTTCTTTTTGGGCCCATGCGTCCACCTCCTTCGTAAACACTTGGTCAAAAGCTTCATTCTCCGAGGGCACTCCAAGTCTCTTGTAGTGTCCTGCTAGAACTTCCCTTTTTCCCTTCCCACTGCTGACTAATCCACCGTTCACACCTCGCAAAGTTGCGACCCCTGTATCCCCCCCTTGCGCGGTCTTTTTTACCATTCCACTAATCCCTTCCCACATCTGCTTGACGTTTCCCTCCAGGCCTCCGTTGGCCTTCTGCACTACTTCGTCCCAAATACACTTTTTCTTCTTTTTCACTAGTCCCTTCACCTGTTTTCTCTTGGCCCTGTACTTTTCCCAACTCTCCTCAGACGCCTCACTCAGGTACTGCTTGAAGACTTCTCTACGTTCCCCCTTTTCTTCTTTCAACTCGTCATCCCACCACTTAACCGATACCCCACATCGTACCACCTCCTTTCCCACTACTCTCTCTGCCGTTGCGTTCACTATGGACTCCTAACCTTCAATCACCCTGTCCCTTGCTCCTAACACGTCTACCTGTCTGCCTTCGACGCTTCAAAGCAGTTTCTTGAAGGGTTCTACATTACCAGCCTGTCCCTTCTGGAATTCATCCCGTGTCCCCTCGTCTCCCAACCGCTCTACTTTCCATCGGAACACTTTCCTCTGTTTCTTACTCTTGATCTTTCTGGATCGGTCGATGTTTGCCCATATGAGGAAGTGGTCGGTCGAACCTATATCTATCGCACTTATGTGCAGCTCTGGGATCTGCGTGCTCCCCCTGTCTACCAGGATGTAGTCGAGGATTGAGTATTCATTGCAAACTGCCCGTTGCCTTGTGAACTCCGGCTTATCGCATTCCCTCCTACCGTTCAACACCATCAGTTCGTTGCTTCCCAAGAATTCAAGCATCCTCACTCCGTTGTCATTCACTTTGTCTTCTCCGTGCTGCCCGATCGCCTGTCCTCTACTGGAAGCTTTCCCTACTCTGGAGTTGAAATCGCCCACCATGACAACTTCTCCCTTCCTACTGAACCTCTGGACATCTTCCCCAATTTGTCCAAAGTTCTCCTGCGCCTTGCTTGCGACTTTCTTCGACGACGGTGGGACGTATACGTTCCCTAGAAACAAGTCTTTCTCACCCCGCTCCCCAGGTATCTTTAGCCATAGGCTTTCCTCGAATTCCGTTTTCACCACTACTTCCACCACGTCAAACAAGTGTTCCTTGACCAGGAATCCGACTCCCCCCTCCCCCCTTTTCTTCGGGTCTAAGCCCTTTCTTGCCTTCCCTACCCACCGGTATTTCCCTAGTTTGCTTACCACGTCACCATCCTTCAATTCCCACGTCTCTTGGATCCCCACTACATCTAGATCGCTTTGTTCTACTTGGTCCACTATTTCCAACCGCTTGCGCTCACTCCTTGCGAACCCGCACACGTTCCACGACCCGACTCTCAGCTTGCGCTTTTCCCTATTGGAGATTTTGCGCACTCTATCGTTCGTCTTCCGCTTCTTCTTGGCGTTGTTCTGACTTGCCTGCTCGCCTCCCCCGCTCGCTCCTTTTTTCGCCTCGGTCGCCCTCGCCTCTTGTCTCCTTACCTTCTCTATTTCTATCATGTTCGCGATGCAAACCCTCCATCCAAACTTCCTTACGTAGTTCGACAGCTTCTCGATGTCGACCCCCAAGCACTCTTGGCTGTCTCCCTTGGTCGAAATCACCCGGAAGTGTTCGTGCTCTCTGCCTACTTGTCCCCTTGCTAGGCATTGCAGTCCCTCCCTGTCACAACTCTAACCTCGTCATGTCCCTTGCAATCCCGAACAGCAGCAGCTCCAACTTGTCTCCCTTCCACAGTTTTTGCTTCCATCCTCCCGGCTTCTTCACCATCCTCATGGTTTCTACGGCAACTGGACTACGGCAAAGTGGCCACTTGTTTTTCGTGTTCTACCAGGAAGGTATACGGAATACTCGGCCTTCCCGATCCGAGTGTCCGGCGGGGGTTGCTGTGGTTCCTTTCAGTTCTTTTGCCGGCTCACCGACGCTAAATAGCGCCTCCAACATAGGCTCGTAGTCTAGATCCAAGTTCACACCTCCTGGCACAAGTACCCCAGTCTTGTGCCGGGCGCTCTGCTTAGTAAATGCCCAGACGCCCCCCGACCACCCATTTTATCACCTCCGAAGTCCGGCGGTACAGGCTACTTTCCTCCTGGGCGGTCATATTCACCACAATTTCAAGGAGTGAAGCCGTGGGCGGTAGCTTGCTCCTAGAGATAGATGAAGGTTCTGTCGTTGACACGCTTGTCCACGACCACGTTGAGATGGGAAAGTTGCTTGTTATTGCTGAGAGACGATCAGCAAAGGTCTGGGATGAAGTGGGGATCCAACTTCATCTCAGGGGGTACACAGAGTAGAAAATTCTAAGGGGGTAGGGTTCAGAAGGGTATACCTCCTGACCGACCCGCATCCTATCAACAATAAGATGTACCCTATTCATGCTAGCAGCCACACTCCTTAACAACAATAAGATCACGGACGAATCGCATAGCCTAAGATCCTACTCACACGCCGGGATGGAGCGTACACCAACGTCCAGCTTCTCGTGTACGCTCCACCATGGTTTGCTACCTCACTTACGCTCCCGAGTAGACCTATCTGCCGAAAGTTTGGTTAACAATTTCTTACTGTTTCATACTCGCCTCTCTCCAACCGAAAACAATGCATTGTGCGTGCCGCACATCTAGCTCCGCAGTTTTTGCGTGGTTGGTCGGGTCTTTCAGCTTGCTCGACGTGAGTAATAAGCTTTGCGTTTGCGATGATGGCTGAATGTTATATTGATCCACTTCAAGCAACGAACACCGCCCCCCCGCCACCGTCCGATCCAGTTTGGATCTCACGTCGGAGATTCGGGTACGGGTTGGGGGTCGGGTCTATGTGTGCTGCATTCTCGAATTGTCCCCTCACTATAGCTACTGTGGATTTTCAGTATACGGTTGTCCTCTCTCAACGCGTCTATGTGTCCTACAATCTCCAATACAAATCAATCGGTGAGGTTTCAGTATGCAGCTTTCGTCTCTCAATGCGTCTATGTGTCCGGCAATTGCAAACGTCACTCATCCCGTGAGGTCTCAGTATGTGTCTATCCTCACTCAAAGCGTCTATCTACGTGTCTGGCACCATCCAACATCACCCAACTCGTGAGGTTTCAGTGTGTAGCTATCCCCACTCAGCGCATCCATGGTTCTGACAAACTCAAAAACCAACGCATCTGTGAGGTTAAAGTATGCAGCTATACTCACTCAACACGTCTATGTGTCCGGCAATCTCCATCACGAATCACCTGTGAGGTTCAGTATGTGTCTATCCTCACTCAACGCGTCTATGTGTCCGGCACTCCAACATCACTCAACCCGTGGGGTTTCAGTATGCAGCTATCCCCACTCAACCCGTCCATGTGTCTGGCAGTCTCAAACCTCACTCAACGCTTGAGGTTTCAGTATACAGCTATAATAACCTCCTCGTCAAAAACACCACAGGCAAGAACCGAGCTCTGCAGAGATGGATCGATGCGAGGAAATTCGCCGCTCGGAAAATACGGAAGCAAGCACACCCGCAACGCGAGGTGGACCGAGAGAGACACGAGACCGCAGAGGCCGTCAAGGCGGCTGCGAAGAAGAAGGCACGAGAGGGCGATCTATCGTTCGGCACGTTCAACGTACGCACGCTCGCCTACAGCGGTAGGAACCCCATCGGTCACAACGTGATGACGGTCATGCAGATTTGTTCCGCGACCGGCTGTGATGTGATAGGACTTCAGGAGGCCCGACGAGAGGGGCAAGGTTCAATTGCACACGACGGGTACGTGATCATCTGGAGTGGCGCCCGTGCTGGCACCAAGGACAAGAGGGGCGTACACGGTGTGGGCATAGCGATCAAGGAGGCCATGTGGGAGAGTGTGGGCGAGGAAGGTAGGACGGTGGAGTGCATTAGCCCGAGGCTGATGAAGGTGCGTCTACAAGGTGGCTGCACCTGCGGAGTAACTTTCGTGGTGGGGTGCGCCCCCACGGAAACTGTCCGCACCACCGCGGGCGGTGATGTTAACGCCAAGGACTCTTCTCGCTCTCAATCAGATGCTACGCTCTCAATCAGGCGAATATGTTGTTCTACGGGTCACCTTCCAAAACAGGGCCTCCAGCCGCCCTCCGCCATGGCGCTCAGGCGGCCAACGGGAGAGACCGCCGCCGAGCTGACGGCTACGGTGATGTCGGCCGCTGCTGAGACCGCGCCGCTGGCGAGGTGCGCACGAGGGCAGAGAGGCTGGTACACGAGCGAAGCGCAGCACGAGATCTCTGACGCGTCGAAGGAGATTAAGGCGGCCCAGCAGCAACTGCGCGGGGCCTCAAAGAACAGCGCCTGCGAGGCGACCCTGCAGGCAATGCTCAAGGCGGCGCGGAAGAAGCGCAGTATCGCGAGGTGGAGAGCACTAGAAACGTTCTTCGAGGGCTATGTACGGCAGCTCGAGAAGAAGAGCCGCGAGGGGGATCAGGCGGGTTTCTACAGGCACCTGAAGATGATCGACGTCGAAGGTAAGAGGTCGTTCACCTCTCAGAACATCAAGGACGAGGACGGCAAGGTCCTTCGGGACCCCACGTTTATTCGCCAACGGTGGGCACGGTGGTTCCACAAGCTTCTCAACACCAAGTCGCCGACCATCGACCTGC